GCAGAACTATTATTATTACTTGAATAAAACAAAGCAAATGTTACCATAATACACTACTTAGCTTAGTTGCTTAGCTATAATAACACACGTCTTGACTTAGTTCTTACTTATAAATGGTTTTACATAACCACAGAAAGTCTGATGATCCCTTCTCCAAAATGCTTGGGACCAGAAGTATTTTGGATTTAGAATTTTTTTTTTTGGAAGAGGTGTTTTTTTTTTGTTTTTTTTTGTTTTGTTTTGTTTTTTGTTTTGCTATAGGGCGCGTGTGCTCACCAGACAGACAGAGACAGATAGAGAGACAGAAAGTGAGAAATCACCCCCCAGGGGGGATGACCACGCCGCAATCCCTTCTCCTCCATTCTCCTCTTGGGATCTTGGGCATGTGCACACACGCGCCCAGCATGAGTTTTAAGCCAACGGGTCCTGGATGCGAACCGCGGTCAACTACATGGGAGTCCAGCAACATAGCCATTACGCTAACTGCTGGTCCCAGATTTAGAATTTTTTTAAAGAGAAATTTTTTTCTGTAAGGCACATGTACTTGCTGTGTACAGAGAGACACAGAGAGAGAGAGAAAGTGAGAAATCATCTTCCCCTCCAGGGTAATAGCCACACCACAATCTTTTTTACTACATTCTCTTCTTGGGATTTTGGGCACGCATGCACATGCACCCAGTGTGAGTTTCAAATCACCTGGTCTGAAACTCATACTGTGGTTGGCCATGAGAGAGTCCAGCAACATAACTGCTATGCTATCTGCTGGCCCTAGGGTTTTCATTCTCATTTTGGGATATTTGCATATTAATAATGAGATCTTAGGGGATGGAACACAAATCCAAACACCTAACCCATTTATGGTTTCATATATACCTCATTCATAGTTGAGTGTACTTACTTAAACATAAACGGGGTGGCCTGAGGATAATTTTGTACTAAACATTTCTAATGCAGGATTTTGATCATGATCCATCACATGAGGTTAGGTATGCAATTTTCCACATGTAGAGTCACGTCGAAAAAGTTTTTGGAATTTTGAATGTGCAGATTAGGACTGCCCAATCTCTAATGTAAACACTGAATGGCACTTTACGCACAAAACTGTGGCATACTATATTTGGAAGAAGTTGGAATATATCAACCATGAACATCCTGTGTGTATTTGTGGTGTGAAAAACTAAGCTCATTTTCTATAGTAGGATAGGATGATAATAGCTAAGAAAAAAAATTAAGAGTTAAGATTTAAAATTTAAACAGGAATATTATTTAGAAATAATGATATAAATGCCACCAAAAGAAGCTAAGAGAGTTCAAAGGAGATACCTTTGGCATCCATGAGTAAGAGAAGAGGAGATGACAAGAAAGACCTCATTTGGAATTTGAGGTTGTTGCTGTGAATTATATTTTATTATTTGGGTTCTAAAAACTATGACTATTCCTATTATCTTTCCTACAGGACCTGTAAGTATTCTGCTCTCAAAATTCCTAAAAGTCATTATATTTATATGATTTAAACTATGGAAACAATTTTAAAGGGAACATTATAGATGTTGGCCTACACATCACATTTTAGGAAGAGGTATGTAGAATCTCAACTATTTTTATACTTTTATGTCTGAACTCTCCAATACTGTAACGCATCTGTTAATGCTAGGGCTATGTTCTGAGAAATGCATTGCTAGGAGAGTTCATCATTGTGCAATGTAATTGTGTGTACGTACACCAACATAACTGGGACAGCCTGCTATACACCCAGGTTACGTAGCAGAGTTTCTATAAATACCCTCATGGGACCACTGCTGTGTACATGCTCCATCTTCTAACAAAATGTCATTATGTAGCACATGTTTGTATTGTTCAATAAGCACCTACGATAATTAGAATCAGAAAAGTAGACTAAAATTAGTATTCAAATGAGTTTTTATGACATGATCACGACTACATAAAATCATGCATTGACAAAAAGTTTTTTTTACTTCATTTTTGTCAATATACATTCATTTCATAATGGGAGGCTAGCCAGGTGGCGTGGTGGTTAATGTGGCTGGACCCCACGTTCTCGCTTTCTCTTTCTCTGGCTCTCTATAGCAAAAACCTCTCAAAAAAAAAAAAATGCAAGGTTCATTTGCCTGTGTGCCCAAAATCCCAAGAGGAGACTGGAGGAAAAAGGATTAAGGCATGGTCATCTCCCCTGGGTGATACTTTCTCACTTTCTCTTTCTCTGTGTTTCTCTCCAGCAAGTACATGTGCTCTACTGCAAATTTAAAAAAATTAATAATGAGAAAAAATATTCCTTTCAAATAAACAACCTTAGTTAGTCCAAAAATGCTGGGCTCTCAAATAAAGCACAATGGCTTTATATTTTCAACATATGGTAAAAGACAATATTTTAGTCCTTCAGATATTAGAACTTGGGAACAAAATTTGAAGAAGGAATGAGCTCATTTTAAGGCCACATGAAGTGGTAATAATACACAGAACTATAAAATTCACTGCCCATCAGGAGACAAACTGCAAACAAGCATGGCTTGATTTTAGAAAGGATAATGATAGTAGTTTTATTCATTTGACTATTATTATCTCTATAAGGTGTAAGCATGGGGGATTCAGCAGTGAATGACACTAAGTGACTAACCTCATGGAGCTTATATTGTAGTGGGGGGAGAAACAGATGGGGACATATGACGTGTGTCAGATGGTGTGTCGGGTGGTGTGAAGTGCTGTGAAAGCAAGAGTGTAGGACAGGGTGACATCAGGTACTGAGGAACATCCTCATGGTTGTCATTTGAGCAGAGCCCTCATGAAGTGAGAATATGAACCAGGAAGTCCAAACAGGAACATTCCACCCAGAGGCAATAAAAAATGTGATGAACGACCATCTTAGCATGTCAAGGTCAGAAAGCAGGCCTGGGTGGCTGGAGTGTGGTGAGCAGAAAAGAGGGCAGTTTGAGGTAAGACAGTACGTAGAAAAGGAAGAGGTAGCAGATCATGACAGGCCAGGTGAGCCACTCTAAGGATTTGGGATTTTCCTCTGAATGAGATGAGAGGCCCTGAGAGGATTTTCAATGGAAGCAATGGGATCTGGTTTAGGCTTAGGGTTAGCAATCACATGGGTTACTGGGCTGACAATGTATGGAGACAGGAAGAAAGTAGGGAGAACCAACTGGAAGTTCTTTTCTCTGGTAGTTAAGACAGTTGGATTCTGACTGTTCAGTTTGAATCCCAAACCTAGTAGGTATAAAAACATGCTGGGCACTTATGTGTGTGCCTCTAATCCCAAGAAATGGAAGCGAAGAGATTGTGGCATGATTATTCCCCATGGGAGGTCCTTTCTTTCTCTCTCTCTCTCTCTCTCCAGCAAGTTCATGCACCCTGTAGTAAAATTACAAAAAAAAAAAAAAAAATCCAACTGAATGGTAATGGTGGTAGTAGTGGATATGAGAAGTAGTTGGGTTCTATATGTTTAAAAGACAATAAACCCAATGTAACTTGCTTATGAGTGTGATATAGGATACGAGAGAAAGGATTCCAAAACATAAATCAAGATTTTTGACCTGAGCAACCAGAAGTCTGGAGATTACATGACTGAAGAAGAGCAAGTTGAGTGGAGAAATAACACTAGTATCACTGTAGTTATCTATACACACACACACACACACACACACACACACATATACACACACACATGTTGTGAACACTGGCAGAATCAAAATGGAGGCACTTGTATCAAACCATAAACAATAAAAAAAATTGCTGGGGGATTATAAAAATGGAATTTCATGTACATGTCTGATAACAAGAACTATCACAAAGACTCTGCCTTAACCTCATACGAAGGCCACTGCAACCTCACACAAAAGATACTTCAGCAAGGACATCTGTCCAACAGCTACTTATCTAGCCCTAGAGTAATGCCACCCTTGTTACTGATCCTTGCAGCCAAGGAAAATGATTATTATTTTGTTTTTGAGAGAGAGATTTTTGTTATAGGGTGTGTACACTCGTCAGAGAGACACAGAGACAGAATGTGAGAAATCACCTCCCGGGGGAATGGCCATGTTGCAATCCCTTCTCCATTCTCCTCTCCGGATTTTGAGCACACACACACGTACCCTGCCGTGAATTTTAAGCCACGGGGTTCAGGACTTGAACCACAGTTGACTACATAGGAGTCCAATGACATAACCATTATGCTATCTGCTGATTTCAAGAATAATTATTTTAAAATGACTCATATAATCCCCCATTTTACCTTTAAAAACCTTTGTCTTCCCTTCCCTCTCTGCATGCATCTGTAGTTTGCCATGGCAGGAGCATTCCACAGTGGAATGTTTGTTCCTGACTAAGCTCATCATCTCTGGAGAAACTATTTGTTATTTAGTCTGAAAATGTACATACCTATGCATACATACACCTGTATACATGTATGTATGTATACACATGTACATACATGCATATCACTTTGCAATGTGCAACATATGTGTCATTTACACTCATGGTTCTCATTTGCTCCTTTTGCTGGGGGAAGCTGGGAATGCTGAGGGTACATCTCTAACAATTAAGGCAGGCAACATGGAGGGCGTGATCCCCACTAGGACTCTCTCAACATCTCTGACAAGTCATCGTGCAAGACCACTCCCTGCTTAAAGCTTTCGGTGTGGCTTGTGCTGACTCTGATCCCTTTAGCTGTGCGCTGCCTTATGCTTAGCTTTTATCTGCCTACCCAGTTTTGCCACATGTAATGATCATTTGCTCTTAAAATGTATCCTATGACACTGACATATGTAGTGACAGCTGATAGTTTACTGAAATACCTTTTAGAATTATTTTTGACAGCTTATTGTGATTTTGTACTAAAATATTTAGAATTTACCTGAGCTACAGATGCATAGATGGCAATATTCCTGACCTAGTTTTCTAACTATAATTATAATGTATGGGTCAATAAATTCCTTAAACAATGGAACATAATGTTATCTCTGAGTACAGGGAACACTTACTGCCACATGTTCATTGTCGCAAGACGGACGAGTTTCCAACCTCAGGTTGTTAAACGTTAGGGTGATCTGCCTTCCTTCCTGCACAGTGATCCTCCACTCACAGAGCCGGCCATGAGGATTTGGGTTTGGATAGTTGGGAGAGGAAAATGTTCCAGTAGGACCCTGCAGGTCTCCACCACATTCTGAAGGGGGGGAAAAGCCAAGAAAACATCCAATCAAATCGAAATGACTCCATCCATAAGGAACACTCTCAAAATTAAAGTACTGTTTAACTTTCCTTCTAGACAAAATGAATGTCCTCATTTATTACTACACGTTAGTATGTGAAGACTTTTAGAAAACATTTATATTCACTTCTTTAGTAGTATTTCCTCTTTACTGCCATGAATGATAGTTTTCTGGTTCATTTGAACTCATATGGTCCATGACATATGAGACATCAATAAATGTAGTAAACTTAAGAATAGGAAAAATCAGAAGGCTAAAATAGTTATCTAATTATTTCAGACAAGATTTTTATTTTTACTAAAGTTTATCAAGGTATTTGGGAATGCAAATTCAAAGTAACTTTAAGACTAACAAACTAGTTTTCTTTAGTTAGGCACTGCAATAAAAATCTCACACTCTCAATATGTCTCTTATGACACTAGTTAGTTGTATTTGTGGCATTTATCACAATTTTTTTTATTTATTAATGGTACTTTTTGACTAATATCTGTCTAATCAGTAAACTGTAAGGCTTAAGAAAACAGGGCTCATGTTGTTTTATTTTTATTTATTTATTTATTTATTTAATTTTTTCGGAGAGGTTTTTTGCTATAGGGCACGTGCACTCGCCAGGAAGGCAGAGAGAGACAAAAAGCGAGAAATCACCCCCCAGGGGGGATGGCCATGCCGCAATCCCTTCTCCTCCACTCTTCTCTCAGAATCTTGGGCATGGACGCACATGCGCCTGGCATGAATTTAAGCCACCGGGTCCGGGACTTGAACCATGGTTGACTACATGGGAGTCCAGCAACATAGCCATTACGCTAACTGCTGGTCCCTCATGTTGCTTTTTTGTTTTTCAAAATATTCTAACATAATGGCTAGCACAATATGTATCCGATGTAGGTGCTCAGTGATGGTTTTTTAATGAAACAGTGAACTCACCTCCTGTACTAGATTCAAACCGCAGTCTAAATCCTGAGGCAGTAAGAGAGGCATCTGTGACAAATCTGACCAAGGCAACATTGCTAGAAGTGTCTATGCTGTCTGGAATGGTGTTCCCACAGTATCTGCCCAAGAGGTTTCCTGCAAGTGAAAGAATTAATTGTTTATATGGCTAGGTGATTGTTTTCTTTTTAATTCTTTTTTTAGTTATCTTTTTAAAAATTTTATCTTATTTCAAGTTCTTATATACATTCAATCACATCATTTAGTTTGCAAAATGAATATTCCAACGTGCGCATTTCTCCCTAGTCCAGTTGACAATACTATAAAGTTATCTTCAACAGGTAATACCCCATTTCTTTGTCCCATTAATGCTTTGCCTCTCCATTTTTCTCATTAATGTCCTTCCTCAGACTCTACTCCTTCACCCACGCTCTTTTCACACTATCTCTGGTATTCACAACCATTTACTTGTGTTTCTATCTCCTTTAGTCATTCAGTTTTCTTTTTATTTCTATCAAAGTGTGCTTCACAAAGAAAATAATAAAGGACAAGATTCTACCTATGAAGAAATGGTAAGCTCTGCCAAGAAAAACATTAATACAAATCAACATATTTGAATATATGAAGAAGTATTTAAAAATGCAAACAATCAGGGGAAAGGTATCTCAGGACAATGAGGAAGGCTTGCTCATTTGCTTAAGGAAATGGTCTGAGACAACAGAGTGGCAAGTGTCTGCCTCTCTTATCACCGAGAGACGTGCATTACCTTACTGGGTGCCCCTCCGATATCTGCAGATGGCACTGGGACGTCCCAATGACAAGGGGACGCTTTACCACCAATACAGAGTTCTCTCAGTGTGGTCTCTGGAGTAAGCTATGTAATGACGCCTGGGACTGACATCCTTGTTACTGGGTAGAACTGAGGGCGAGAATGGCTGGTGCGGCTTACTGCTCATTGACCCGCACTTCTCGTCAGAGAGTAGACATACTTTTGCCTTTCTTGGGAATGAAGAGACTTGAGAGACTGAATGAACACAGTGAAAATAACACCCCAAAAGGGAGCAGATGTAGTTCACTAACCAGAGGTGTGGTTTTCCCAGATCTCCACAAAATCTTTTTCACAGCCAGAGGAATTCTGAAGGTTGAAATCTTCAAAATGGATGGTGAGGTAGTGCCCCAAGAGACCCTGGAGATGCCACTCACAGGATAAATTGTCTGAATATGGAAGTGTTGGATATCCAAGGCTTTCAATGACACCACTTTGCCCTGTTACTGTTCCTCCACACTGGGCTGTAAAAGAAAAAGAAAAAAGAAAGAGAAAGAGAAATATTCTGTTACAATTTTTTTTCTGCTTTCACCGTTGCCAAGTGAATATAAATTGAAGTTTTAAAATGCTGAAGATGTTGGGTAGTGCTTTTCTCACATTAAATCTCTGGGGACGAAGTAAGTTTCATTGCAAGAACCAGCTGATACACTGGGATGGCCTGCTTCTCACCCTGTGTTGATAACTCTAAAGACTGAGAACTGAGTTGGAAAGGGCACTACGGCTGATTGATGATGCCTGCTATTTCTAGCTTAACTTCAAAATAAGCATTTTACTACAATAATTGGTATCAAAAGGTCTTGAAAACTGCACTCAGTTCTTTCTTATCAGCTGCATGTGACAGCTAGATTGAATTACATACAATTTGATTCAGGATATAAAATGACCTATGGTATAGGTTAAAGAGTGTGTCAAAAGGTCTTGAAAACTGCACTCAGTTATTTCCTATCAGCTGCACGTGACAGCTAGATTGGACTACATACAATTTGATTCAGGGTATAAAATGACCTATGGTATAGGTTAAAGAGCTTTATAGCTAGGCTTTAGGAGTTTTTGCTGTATCAAGCATTTGTTTGGTTAGTTTCCAGACCCACCAGATACTGAAGTGTGTGCCACTGTGACCATATTATAGTGAATCTTCAGTACGTGTATTTATTGCTCACTTTTTAGACAAAGATATCAAATGCTAAGAAAATATACTTTTACCCCGTGACTGATTTGGCACTAGAGACAGGGATTTCAAAAATTCAGTTACTTTATTAATGATGAATTCAAAGTTACTGTTCTTGTTACTGCTTTTACTTTCTTTCATTATTCATGATGGCACATGAGAAAGGGTAAGTGAGAAACAAGACACCAGGTCTGGGACTCAAACTATGGTCGACCCTGTGGGAGTCCAGTACCTTAATCACCTGCCTCCTGCTGGTCCCAATACACTTCATGGTAAGAGAGAGAAATAAGAATTTGATTTAATAAAATACATGCTTCACAGACAAATTAGGAGAAAAAAATACAAAATATTCAAATTTACTAAAAATAATATTTTAAAATGAAAATCAAAGAAGAAATTAAAATAGATAAATCTCTTGTTTTAAACATTTTACACACCTTGATTGCATAGTTAAAATTATTCTTAAAATTAGGTAGATAAGATTTCTTTCAAGAGGCATTTTTAAAACGTTTTCATGTATCCATTCTATTACTACTTTTCTATTTGATATATTTTTTAAATGTTGTTACCTATGAAGTATTTGGCCTTGAATCCCACGTGAGTGGGGCTGTTGTCAGACCGGAATCTCAAATACATGACCTCTCCCGAGGACACCTGACTGCTGGGCACAGACACCCCACAGAGTCTGGAGAGTATTGGTGCATTTGAATCACCTCCATCCCGCAACTCCAGGTAATTGGAAGTACAACTAAAATGGGGAAAGAATTCTGTTAAATGTGTAGGCCTATTGTTTTGACTTACTCTGATAATGTGGACTTGACTTACTTGCTTGGAGGATATTAGATCATCATTTCTGTAGCATAAGACACTATGACAGAGCCAGTATAAGCTGTGTGCTATTTTTAAATGCTGTCCTAAAGATAATACAAAAGGACTTCAAAAAATTCATACAAAATGCATGTTATGAAAAAACTACACATGGATTTTAATTACTTTCATACCAAGATGAATTTGTGCTTTTTTTAAAAAATAATATGATTTCTGGTTTACATATATTCAAAATATATTTTGTGGACTACAGTATGGTTTTTTTTTTTTTTTTTTTTGGAGAGATTTTCACTGTAAGGCGCGTGCGCTCGCCAGACAGACAGAGAGAGACATAGAGACAGAAAGCGAGAAATCACCCCCCAGGGGGGATGGTCACGCCACAATCCCTTCTCCTCCATTCTCCTCTCAGGATCTTGGGCACGCACACACACGCGCCCGGCGTGAGTTTTAAGCCACCGGGTCCGGGACGTGAACCGCGGTCGACTACGTGGGAGTCCAGCGACATAGCCATTACGCTAACTGCTGGTTCCCTACAGTATGGTTTTTAAAAGCATACATATGGTATATAATAATCAAATTGAGGATATACAAAGATTCATCTTTTTCAACACTGAATATCACATTAAATTGTGCACATTTGGCAATAGGTCTACTAGTTTTTAAAAAGACACGTATTAAATTGTTCATATGTTTTACTCTGCTATGGTTCCATTAAAATTTTTCTCATGAACCAAATTTGTGTTTTAATTCCATTTTCCATGAACTTTTCAAAGTCCTCTTGTACATTCTTTCATTCACAGCTTGTGAAAATACCAGTTTTACATATTTGACATTAAAGAATATTTACTTGCTTCATGTTCTGCATTAGTTTTACAAAGGTAAAAGCCATTTTCAAATTATTCCTTATAAATGACAAGAAAAAGTATTTTGTTTCACTGATATTTGATATATTTCACATAACAGATGAACTCTTTCTTGACAGCTCTGTGATCAGAGGTAATGGAGAGTCTCAGCTGGAATTTTCTATACCCACTAAAATAGAACAAGTATTTACCTAATGTATCTTGAGAAAGTCAAATGAACAATCAGTGCTCAGTGAGTAGCACGTAGTATTGTTTCTGGAGCCCAGAAATGGTAAGCAAAGCTCTCATAAATGCTCAGTGCTACACATGATTTCATGGAAATGAATATGTACTTTTGTTAAATGAAAAACACAGATTTTGACAGTCTATGTAGCTTTCCTTGTCTTCAGCATTGTAAGACTTACTCTCTGGCGTGAAACCTTTAAGAATTAATATTAAACAGAGACTGTAAAATTGAACTATGGTTACTTTAGTTTTGTTTTCTGACACTGGTGACCCTGGTGCCCCGTCACACAAATTCCCATTTGTTAAACAGATATTTTGTCATTATGACATTAAATATGAGGCTGGGCAGATAAATGCTCATCTGCCAGAAACACTATCTTTTTCCTGTGGGAGGAAGAACAGAGAACATAAATTCCAAACAGCCACCCTCAGTGTCTCCTGGAGGATGTGTCTAGGGTCACCGGGGACAGTATCTGTGTACATAATCTACTCAGCTCATGGCAGAGTGGCCGCCAGGCAATGCTTTCCAGCTTGAGGCATTAGCTTTTCTCCTTGTCCCTAGATTTCCTATGCAGCATGAGCTGCTGAGAAAAGAAGACATAAATTGTTCTGAGACATTGCAACTAAAAAATAACTTTGTGTTGGAGAAAAATTTAAATGGAGGTGACCTACTTGGGTGTTACTTCGATACTGAATTGATCTTCAAACTGCAGCCTTACGAGCTTTCCCGGAGGAGCTGCTATGATCCAAATGCAATCAGCATGCTGGGGATAATTGTCAGGGTGACTGGGGGAGGTCACGTATCCAGCAGAGTCAGCATCGTGGATGTAGATCCTGCCTCCACAGGCTGTGAAGAACACAATGAAATCAATATACAATCTGGTGAAGAAGGAGACAATCAACGGCTGCTATCATTTTTAAAAAATACTTTATCTGTATTTTCATTCTAAATTTCCTTTCATCTTGAATCAACTTCATTTTTTATTGGAATTTCTTACTCATGTATAATCATGGAGGGATATAGTATATCTTTTTAAATAATGCATACAGTGTGTAATAAATTCTGAATTTGTTAGTGAGGGAGTGAACAGGTGTGTAACTTTTCAATTTGTCAAATCATCTATTCTTATTAGAAATTTTACTCTTTCTTAAAGTCAAGAAAATGATTATAGCACACAGTGCATATGGCAGAACATTCTAGAAGCATGAATCCATGTCCACCACTTGGATAAGCATGTATAGCAGTTATAACTCCCCACTGATGATTCAGCTCAGTAGGATGATGCAGAGCCATGATCTTGATATGTTTAAAGACTAAGCAGATCTATTGGACTGTTGGAAAATTCATGACACATTTTTGCATAAACAAACACAGAGAAAATATATCATGACTTTTCTGACAACCCAATACATTTGTACAACTTTGGGCAATGGTTCAATACATTTCTTCAGCACTTAGACACATTTGAATAACAAGCGAGCAATGGCATGAGAACATTTACTAGCCCTTTTTAAGATGGAGTTTTTTTTTAATACTTCTTTTCTAAAATACCAAAGTGTTATATATAAATACTTACCTTTCAGCAATAAAGATTCTTCTAATAATTTCAGCAAACAAACTAAGCAGGGGTAAATGTTCTTACAATGCCAATGAAATTAACCTGTTCAATGACTTAGCCATACAGATACTTAGTCTGGTAAACTGGCAACATTTATTTCCAGTATCATTCGGTCACTATGGTCAGATCTAAGTTTCTTTACTACCTAGAACTTGCCCATCTTGCAAACTTTAAATTAAAAATCCCTTTCACAACCTTTAACTCTTTGCCCTGTGACTTCCCTCCAGACTCCCCTAGCAAAAACCAATTTCATGGTTGTGTTCCATTCACACCATTTGTGGGACTGATGCCATTGCAAATGTATGTCCTTCAATCTTAACACTGCCAAGCAACTCACCCATTACTTTTTATTTTTGGGGGGGAGAGGATTTTTTGCTATAGGGCACGTGCGCTCGCCAGACAGACAGAGAGAGACAGAGAGACAAAAAGCGAGAAATCACCCCCCAGGGAGGATGGCCACGCCGCAATCCCTTCTCCTCCATTCTCCTCTCAGGATCTTGGGCATGCACACACAAGCGCCCGGCGTGAGTTTTAAGCCACCAGGTTCAGGACTCGAACCATGGTCGACTACGTGGGAGTCCAGCAACATAGCCATTACACTAACTGTGGTCCCTCACCCATTACTTTTCATATAACTACAACAGCTATTTAAAACTTTATGATACTCTTTAAACCTGGAATTTTGCCTATTCCCTCTTGATTCTGAGCGCATGACATTGAATTCTGCTTTACAAAGAAATAGAAGAAAACAGGTGAGTCCCCTTGTTACCATCCTTAATAAATTCCTCTGTATCTCCACTCTCTTTTCCCCTGCATATTTTCTTCCTGTATCTGTGGATCAGATTCCCATCTCATCCTGTCTCTTCTCCAGGGATTTTGCTCTATTTTTTTTTTTTTTCCCTTTTGACTTTTAGTCAACATCTCTCTCTCTCTTTTTTCCCACTTTCATTCTTTTGTTCAGGTCACCAGTAACCTCAGTTATGCACCCCAATTTTTTTCGTTAATCCTTATTTTATATCCATAGCATTTAATATGATGTACCACAAAACTTCTTTTTTTCATATTTTTGTCCCTTGGCTTCTTAGACACCAAGCTCTTACTTTGTTTCTTTTACTCCTCTCACCATTCCTCCTGGTCCTTGGGGGCCTCTTGCCAGAGCTTTCTGGGGAGCCCTAAGAATATCTCCATAGAATTTTCATCTTCTCACTCTAAATAATCCCACAATTGACTCTCTTCTGCTCTTGCCCATGTGATGTGATGTAATGCCCCAGGATTCCGCAAGACTCTCACCAGAAGTGACCCTGGTACCTTGGGCTTCCAAACCATGCAGATTCAGCACAGCCAGCCTGCTATGGGATGGATGAGGAGGACGAGAACCACTACGTCTCACTGCTCAAGGATGTCTACAACACCTGACACCACAGGGACTTTATCTTTCAATGGCTCCCCATTACCTTTAGACTTTCATCCAATCTCCTTATGATGGTATCTGCGATCTTAGCATGATCCCTGTCCATTTCATCACCAGTATGTAAGTTCTCTCAAATCTTTAAATGTGCCCTTCTCATTACATTGAGACTTTATATGATGTCACCTCCTTCCTTCACAGGTTGGCAAATCTCTATTCATCTCCTTCCTCTGAGATCCTTCTCTGCTCCCTTGGGCCAGAGTAGGTGTTTCTCCAGGTGTTCACCTAGCCCCTGGTGCATTCCTCTATCTAGCACTTACTGCACCATATTTTGATGATGCCTTTCCTTGTCCATCTCCTCTATTGTGCTGTAAACTTCTTGATAGAACTTGATAGTTTGTAATGGTGTGAAGCACTTTGAAAATGTGTAACTAATTAATTAATAAGCCAATTAACTAGGTGAGAATGGAATGGTAGAAATCTCAATTGACTAAATGAAGAGGTTCTCTGGAGAAAGATGATATAAAATTAGGCAAATTTTATGTCAAAAATTATTCACATAAGAATATACAGTAAAAGCTAAGAAACAGGAGTGACATGGACATTGATATGGTGGAAAGATAGCCAGACATATTAGGAAAAGAGAAGGCTGGTTGTAGTTAGGAAAAATGGTTGAATTGGTAAGTATGGAAAAAAGAAGAGTAATAATATTGTTTGGATTTACCAAAAAATAGGTTTTTAAATAAAAAGATTTTTGTTTAAGTCTAAATTAAGAGCAATCAAAAGCTTGAAGGAAGAGGGGGAGAAGTTCATGGCCACAGCCATACTTAGATAAATAATATGTCCACAAAGGAATAAAAAAGGCATAGGATGGTCAAAGAAACCTTCAGTGTATCAGAATTATCGTTGAATATCAAATTTAAAACTATAAATCAAGACTGAGTCTATGTTGAGTGAAAATGGAAAAGATGAGTTCTATAGGGTGGACTGAAGTCTGCTTACTAGACCCACAGCACTAGTTCTCTGATCATGCTTGAGTGCCTGGCGAAATCCTGACCATTTGCGTCCCAGCTGCAGAGCTCAGTATGGACACAGGGAGGGATGAGAAGCTCCCAACCTACAAAACAATGGTGCTGGGTCCATGGAGCCGCATTCAGGTCCACTCTGTGCGCTAGAACTGAGTGTACTGGGAGTGGCAGAAGAACATTCCCTGTCCTCTTAGACCCTACTCAAGCTATTAGATAATTTTGTGTGTCAGTTAGTGGAGACTTATTTCTTCTCCTTTCCTAAAATGAAGAAATGATGATGATGATGATGTTTAAAATTTTCGTATTTGGGAGAATGTACACTAAAATACATGGTTTAACTGAGACTAGTAGGGACTTCACAGCCTTTGTTGGGACCTTTCTTCTGAGCAGTACCATGGGAGAAGAATAGGTCCATTTCTTAGCTAGAAAGGCAAATTAAAATTATATAAACTCCTTTATGTCATGAAAGATGGAGTACAAAAGTCCTATCCACTTATGTAATCAGCAATCAGGGATTAAGGTCATAGGATCTTTCTAAAATCTGTAACATCTTATTTTGGGGAGTGGGGGAGAACAAATAAAGATTTATTTATATTGCTCTTCATTGACACTACTCCCTTTTTGGAAACTATGTCTATTTATTTATATATTTATGCCCTCAATCAAATATTATTAAAAAGTAAATGTTGGACCAGCAGTTAGCATAATGGCTAAGTCGCTGGACTCCCATGTAGTCGACTGCGATTTGGACACCGGACATGGAAGCTTAAACTCAAGCCGGGCATGTATGCATGCGTGCCCAAGATCCTGAGAGGAGAATGGAGGAGAAGGGATTGTGGCTTGGCCATGCCCCCTGGGGGGTGATTTCCCGCTTTCTGTCTCTCTGTCTCTCTCTGTCTTTCTGGCGAGCACACGCGCCCTATAGCAAAAAGCCTCTCAAAAAAAAAAGTAAATGTCAGGACCAGCAGATGACATAATGGTTATGCTGCTAAAATTTCATGTAGTCAACTACAGTTTGATCCCAGATCTAGCAGCTTAAAACTCACACTAAGTGCATGTGCATGCATGCCCAAAATCCCAAGAGGAGAGCAGAGAAGGAATTGTGGCATGGCCATACCCTTGGGGGATGATTTCTCGCTTTCTGTCTCTGTCTATCCAGACAGTGCCTGCACCATATAGCAAAAATCTCCCTCTCTCACAAAAATGTAAAAGCCATAAAAATTAAATAATTATCATAACAATTACAGTAGAATTACATACAATTATAATTAAGATTAAGTAAGTAAAGATCACTGATATTATATATATATAATTAAATGTGTTATAGAATCAGAGGGTAATATGTTCATTTTAAAGAAAGCATAAAATTGATTACCAAATAAGGCAATTATAATTTTTATAACATTTCTATAACTGGACTTAACTTACAGCTAGACATTTTACAATGGAAAGAGCTAAAGAATTTCAGGAATCAATAAGGCTAGTTCATTTTATACTCAGGATATTTCACTGAACACTAACTAGACATAGGGACTTGGAAAAGCCCAAGCCTCACTTTACTTATCTGTATGATGAAAATGATGACATCTTCCTTAGAAAAATAGTCATGATGAGCTATTTAATATGTAAGGCATATAGCAAATACTTGATAATAGGTAGATATTCTTATTAACACTATTGCTCTACGTTCAAAAAACTTCCTTTTTCTCAAATCTATTTACTTCCTTTTTCTCAAATCTATTTACTTCCTTTTTCTCAAATCTATTTCAGCAAGAAAGACAATGTGATTGCAAGAAAGGTGCAGACATGTAATGACTCTCAGAAATACTTACCTAAACTCTTTGCCTCATATCTTATCTTAAATCCTTGTCCTTCATTACTATTATCAGAAATGAACTGAACAAACATTTGATTATCTGTGGTGAACAGAGTTGAAGAAGGACGGCTGCCACAGAAATGACCATTCCCTCTGAGAGGTCCCAAGGGTGGAGAATGGATATCGGGTCCATTTCTTAGCTGGAAAGACAAGTTAGATTGTGTAAACTCCTTTATGTTGTGAAAGATGGGATACACAAGTTCTACCCATTTATGCCCCCACAGAGGAAAAGCATCATTATGTTTCTTCAGTGATGTCTGCAGAGGAAGGGTAGCAAGAAGACCTACCACCAAGTAATCCCCCTGGTTGCAAGAAGAATCTCCATTTGGAATCTGGAAAGGCTGTTCGAAGTGGACAGCGATGGTCAGACCACTCTGAACCAGGACGTGCCAAGAGCAGTTGAGGTTGGGTGTGTAGGGTTCTGGATACTTGGGGGATGTGATAATCCCTCTGTCTGCATGCAGATAACCACCACAGCCTTCCCAGGAAGAAACAAAGGCAGGTTATTTAAATGACATTGACAAATGGATTTTCACACTTTCATGGTTTTCTTGGGAGGCTTCAAGGTGTAGGCAATAGAAACATGGTTTGAAACTAACCAGGACCAAAGTGTAGGAAATGATGAGCAGACAAGAGTTTAATGAGTACATATTATTTGGTACTCATTTTCTGATTGTTGTTAAGATCTGAGGTAGAGGTAAGAATAGAGATAACATACTTTCACAAAGCTTACTTTACAGATTGGGTTAATATACTATAAACAAATCTATAATATCTATGATAATTATAAATTCTATAAAGCAAAATGAAAGGAAGGAGGGAGAATCATTCTATATTATCTGGGGAAGTTAGGGAAGGTAATATCAGGATGACATCTGAGAAGAGAATTGAATGAAATAAGGGATCAAGCCAGGTGACTTTGTGAGAAAAGAATATTCCAGTCCAAAAACAATTACATAAAGGATGAATATGTTAGAGAGACATCATGAAAAACAGAAAGGTTGAGGCGGAATGAGAGATGTAAAAGATAGCATGGTCAGGTTACTAAAGACTTAAAGAACTTATTTTGAGTAAGAAAAGGAAGACATTGAAGAGCTTTGAGCATAATCTGATTCCTTTTTTAATTTTCTTTTTTGAGAGGTTTTTGTAATAGGGCCCATGCGCTTGCCAGAAGGACAGAGAGAGACAGAGAGATAGAAAGCGAGATATCCCCCCCAGGGGGGATGGCCACACCGCAATCCCTTCTCCTCCATTCTCCTCTCGGGATCTTGGGCACACACACACACGTGCCCAGTGTGAGTTTAAGCCACTGGGTCTGGGACTCGAACCGCAGTTTGCTACATGGGAATTCAGTGACATAGCCATTAAGCTAACTGCTGGTTCTGAGCATAATCTGATTTTTTTAAAAAAATTTAAGTACTTTTTGTTGTTGTTCTTGTTTTTGAGGTTTTTGCTGTAGGGCGTGTGCACTTGCTTGAGAGAGAAACAGACAAAGAAAGGGAGAAATACGTGTGCACTTGCTTGAGAGAGAAACAGACAGAGAGGAGAAAGGGAGAAATCACCCCCACCCATCACCCCCGGAGCGATGGCCACACCACACCTCTTTTCTCCTGGATTTTGGGCATGCACACACATGTGCCCAATGTGATTCTCAGGCCACTAGGTCCAGGACTTGAATTGGCTATCACCCATGTGGGAGTCGGCCATGTGGGGAGTCTAACACCTTAAGCGACACAACACATGTTGGCCCCAATTTTATTTAAATTTTAAAATGATCATTCAATCTGCAGAAAGTAGCTGTAGGAAGTGGAGGTGGAATAAACAGATGCAGAGTATCCAATAAGAAGGGGAGTGCCTGAGTCCAAGAAGGGACATCAGAGATTGGGACTAGGATGATACAGGAGAAATGGACAAAAGTAGTTGGAATCTAGATGTATCTTGAGGGCAGAACCACTGTGATTGCTGATGCTTGGGGTGTAGGGTGAGAGAGAAAGAGAAAACCAAGAATGACATCAGGATTCTTGGCTTAAATAACTTGAAGACTGTAGTTTCTGTTTACTAAGATTGCAGAGTGTGTAATAAACAGGTTTGGGGCAGAAAAGGGTGGGGATCAAGAGTTCAGTTTTCTTATGTTAAGCTTGAAACACCTTTTGGACATGGAGGTGTAGAGTACACATGTACACACACACACACACACACACACACACACCTAGACATGCATATATGTATGTAAGTCACAATGGTTCCACCCTCACCATATGTGTGTGTGCTTGCAGCATATACATGATGAGAGGACATATGTGAGAGAGAGTGAGAAGTTGGGAGTTGAGGAAAGAGAGAGTAAGTGGATGGAGGAGGCATTCATTTGCCAGTTGTCAGGGTGGCTCACCAATGAGTAAGTGCAGAGAGCTCACACAACTAGTTAAATTGCAGAGGTAGAAATTTACCTAGGTCTGTCTAATTCCACAGTCTATCCTCCTACACCACTAGACAGCCTGTCTCCCTTGAGTGTGAAGAAGATAATTTATCTTCAATTGCTCCATGCTTTATAAAAGATATATATAATAGTAAAAGAAAAACTAACTTTTAATGGTAGATTGAGAATCTTCTATAAAATTGTTTTCAGTTAAAAACGAGACTTTCAAAACTCTATGGACTACTTCTTTAACTTTAATCTGGTTTGAATTGAAAGTTATTAGTAGACTTCACATATTGCCAAAATTTGAAAGTCTCAAACTGTGTGGTAGCATCCTGTGTACTAGTCATACATATCCTCTGATTCAGCAAATTTATATTTCAAAAACAATGAACTCTTCTATCAACCCTCAAATGAATGATTTCCATCAAGGAATTATTGACGATATCTTCCACATTATGTTTACTGGCTATTACTTAGATTGAAGATGACTCTGACTTGTTAACTTTGTTGTGTTACGAATATGTGCTGTCTCCCAGTTCTAGCTCTCAGCAACACTGAAATTTATTTTAAAGATCTCACTCTTGGGGAACCAGCAGTTAGTGTAATGGCTATGTCACTGGACTCCCATGTAGTCGACCGCGGTTCGTGTCCTGGACCCGGTGGCTTAAAACTCACACCAGGCGTGTGTGCCCAAGATCCCGAGAGGAGAATGGAGGAGAAGGGATTGCGGTGTGACCATCCCCCGTGGGGGGTGATTTCTCGCTTTCTGTCTCTCTGTTTCTCTCTGTCTGTCTGGCGAATGCACGCGCCCTATAGCAAAAACCTCTCAAAAAAAAATTTAAAAAAAAAAAAAGATCTCACTCTTGGGACTGACAAAGTGGCGTGGTGGTTAAGGATACTGGTCTCCTGTATGGCTGACTGCAGTTCAGTCTCAGACCTGGATAATAATAATAATAATAATAATAATAATAATAAATGAAACAATTCTTTAAAAAAAAATCTCACTCTTGTGCCTACCGTGAATATACCTTTTCTGGGGGAAGATCCCCTACTCAGATCTAAGGCAGGAGATTCTTAATACAGCTTGACCACAGTGCTGTAAATCAGGACTCAGTACTTGACATAAGGATATCACCCAGATGTATCAGAGACCTTTGTCCTGGCATGAAAAAATGAGTCAAGTGGATTAAGGAGAGAGAAAAGGAGATGATGGTGAGATGAGATGAGTGAGAAGACAAGAGAAGGCAAGAGAAAGAAGAGAAGAGAAGAGAAGAGGAGAGGAGAGGAGAGGAGAGGAGAGGAGAGGAGAGGAGAGGAGAGGAGAGAAGAGGAGAGGAGAGAAGAGAAGAGAAAAAACAAATGTTCAAACACATTACTTTTGTGAAAAGATGCGTTGAATCCTGCCCTGGTCACACTTAAGTCAGAGGTGAAGTGGATGAACATGTACTCCCCAGTGGAACGGATGGGCCCAGGGATCTCTCTGCCACAGAGAACGGCGAGTGTCTCGGCCCTGTTATTGTCTCCTATAATCACAAAAGGAAACATCAATGTGAAAATAAGATGCCTTAAGAATCTACCCCACCACCACTTGTAACTCAGCCAAAGTGGCTCCCACATTTTTCTGAGAGCATTACAATTGCTAGGAGATAATGACATATTCCAAAAAGAAGGACACAGTGGGGGGTCACAGCATTCTGGCTCCAGCTTGCTATGATGCTGCCTGCCCTGTTCTTTACCTTTTTGATAAAGACTTCTTTGACAGTTCCCACTCTTTCTAAAAAACTGGCCACCAGTTCTTCCTGGCAATAAAATTCAAAAGCAGCATGAGTACATGGGGTTGGGAAGTGATCTAGGACCAGCACTGAAGTGTGTGTTAATTAGACACTCTGACCTTGGTGGCTCTGGTTGCTGAGGGTCAAGTATATGCAAGAGAGGAAAAGGTTGATTCTTCCATTTCAGATCCTATGCTAACAGTAAGAGATCATTTACCAAGAGGCATGCAACTTTTACATAGCTCTTTATTCAGTTCCAGATTTTTGTTTGTTTTGTTTGTTAAAGGAAACGCACTCGCGTAGAAGATGAGAACAGACAAGTCCAGCAAGTGTGCTCCCCATGAAGAGATGAAAAGCAGAGTGGGTCACCTCAGGCCCCCTTTTCCTTGGCTTCTTTTGGGTATAAGTTTCTCACATAGCAACTGCCCCAGCCAAAACCAGAATGGAGCCACGGAGACTAGAGCAGGCTTTGATTCTTTAGCTGGGAAAATGTGTGGTTTTATTTTGTTGTTGTTGTTTCCTAAGAAAAGGCTGAGAATTTGTAAATTTTGAGTTTTATAAAACTCAAAAACAGAATGTGAGACCTGAGAAACGTTGCCCTTTTACACAGCTATTAAAACCAATCCTTCCTGACACCACAAAAACTCATTATTAGCTTTAAGAAAACGTTATTTTCTATTTCCGGGATTACAACTATAATGACATTGTTATAAATTCGAGATACTTAGAAAGACATTCTTCAGAGGGCTTCTCACCTCTGGGAAACTTGTGTGTTTTCTGTTGTACGATTCAACAGTTTACCTCTTAGCTTCCTTCTGTACTTATCATGGTCACGGTGCTATTTTGCTATGTAATTCATATTATTTTTGTTAATTTACACTGTGATGACTGTAATACAAATTTTTTCAGTTTATTCTATCTCATATTCCACATGTGTATATTTTATCTCTCATTGAGACAGGGTTGAGCCTATTAATGCTTAAATTTCTTTTCTAAACTTCACCTCTGAGTATATGTTGAAACAATGCTTATCTTTATATAATTATTGTTGATTAACCAACTGATTAGTTGATAAATAACCCAGTAACCACAAGAAGGTTTGTTAGTCGTGCCATTTGAATCTATACTGAATACTAAAGCGTTTCTAGAGCCTACTAGAAGCTCAATATACAGATGCAACAAGCATGTATCTACTCTTGAGGGTGTGAGTCAAAGAACTATAAAGTCTAGGGCTAGAAGGTAACTTGGCAATTCTCTCGCTAGTCCAAATTTCTCATTTTAGTGATGTGAAAATTTAGGCTCTGTCTTTTTTTTTTTTTTTTTCTCAAGAGATTTTTGCTATAGGATACGTGCACTTGCCAGACAGACAGAGAGAAAGCAAGAAATCACCCCAGGGGTGATGGCCACACCACAGTCCCTTCTCCTTTATTCTCCTCTCAGGGTTTGGGCAAACATGTACATGTTCCCAGTGTGAGTTTTAAGCTGCTGGGTCTGGGACTCAAACCACAGTCAACTACGTGGGAATCCAATGACATAATCATTACACCATCTGCTAGTCCCAGACTCTACGATTTTAAAGGCTGACATTTATTGAAAAATTACTATATGCCACTTTAAGTGCTTTACATGTAATATCTGGTTTTGTCTTCACAATAACACCATTAGGTAGGCATAATTATTATCCCCATTTGGTAGATAAGGAAACTGTCTTCGTGGGGATGTAAGTCATGTTGCTATACAGAAGAGCATAGAGCATAGGGCACAGAAGTCAACAAAAGATTTTCACCCAGGCTGTTTAACCGTGAATGTCCTCAAACTATGCTATTACATGATTTATCTAAGGACACAAAGAAAGTACATTGGGACTAGATTAAAAAAAAAAAAACAAGAGCTGGGACTAGATTTAAAAGTTACTGTCTTTGGTATAATTTTTCTTTCTCTTTTTTCCTTTCTTTCTTTCTGCTGCCTTTTTATTTATTTATTTATTTTTTAATATTTTTCTCCTGATCCCAATGTAGTTTCATGGAACTCCAGTTTAGGGCCATCTTTAATGTGGACTATTTCTTGGTGCTCATCTGGAAAAGACTGATTCTGTTTTGAACCATGATAACAATGTGAAATGAATAAGCTGATAGGAGAATGACTCAGTTCTCCTGAAAATTCTGTAGGATCCTCTCCAGAGTGGCCCAGAAATGTACATAGGACCCTCTGGCCAAAGTCTAAGGGCATCTTTAGACAGGTCAACTGAGTAAATAACCAATTGGCTTTAGATAGTTGCTTCAGAATGTTACATGTCCTTGCTACTTAAGAGCAAAAAACCAGTCGCACCAAGAATAAATAACTAAAGAAGTGGGATTTAAAATTTAATTCTAAAAATATATTAACAATGTGCAAATGAACAAAATGCTCACCAATGGACACATTAGGCATTCAATAGCAACTTCTTCAATTAGTAGTTACACAAATGAGGAAAGAATGAGCCTATTGGGCATCTACTCATATTGTAGTGAGTAAAAATGCATAAATATGGGATAGGTCCCACAACCAGCTTGAAATATTTTTGTTGTTTGGGCATAATCCTCAAATTGCCAAACTCTCTCTCAAGGCACTCTATGCCTGAGCAAGGACTCCGATAAAATCTCTCCTAGAAATGTCCAAGTAAATTGAAATCTAAAGTATACAAATTTTACATCTACCAAATGTATGACTCTTGCTAGAGATGTTAGCATTTATTTTCCTGATCCTCACAAAAAGCCCAGAAGTAGGTATAATTCTCTTTCACAGTTGTTAAGACAAGTTTTGAGGCATTTAGTGGTTTGTGCAGTCTCACAGAAGAAGAAAAAAACTGCTTTCTAAAGAATAGGCTTCCAAGAGAAATTATTGTTGGAACAGAAAGCAACTCAATAGAATGTCACTTTTAAATCATAACTATAATCTACTTCGTTGATGCAGTTACCTACTGAAGATTTTTTTTAAGTTTCCACATGCATGTTATTTATTACACAAAAAGTGAAAAATGTCAATATCCACAAGAGTGCCTCTATGTGAGAAAAGATCATGGCTCCTCTGGGCAATAGGCTGATAGCAAAATGCTGATAGGAAAGACAGAGGGTGTCATGGTTTGTCACCCCATCATTTTCTGTAATGGATTTGAGTCTTTACTTGGGGTCTAGTCTCTACAGAGGGGAAACAAAACACCTCCACCATTTTATTTTTTCTCACTTATTGGATATCTAGGGATGAGGTGATAAAGGAGGTAAGATCTTGCACACTAGTAACCTGTGGACCAAAGCAAACACATTTTTTGCTTTTTCTCAGAATCTGCATTTTTTTGGTGCATCTGTTTTTAAGTTTTGGGTCCCCTTCCTCCCCGCCCCCCATGAAGAAGGGAGGGAGAAACAGACAGACAGGGAGAGAGCACTACCCTACAGGGTCCTGACATTCAGTATACTTAAGGAGGTCTTCAGATGCCAGCCCATCAATAGAGCCTTGCCCTGTGCTGAGCGACACAGAGTAGCTCATCTAGCTGTGTCGCCATTTGGCCCAGAGATCTGCATTTCTACAAGGTTCCAGGAGACACTGATGCTGCCAGTCTGCAGACCACACTGAGAAACACCAATGTGGAGAATGAGGCCACCCTACTGTTCCCTTCGAGTCTCTTCCTTTGCAATGGCCCATGCAAATTGTGAGGCATGATTTTGTACATGTTACACATTAGCATTATTCATGTCACTTACTCTTCATGGCGGCACCACACGTGTGTATAGAGGAGAAGATGCAAAGACTTTACCCCATAATTCTACCTATTCTACCCACAGATGAGGGGGACAACGAGAAATGAATATAACTATGAATATTTGCTCACTAGGATCTTTAAGCCATAGGTATAAAATGTCGATATTTATTTCTGAGGCTTCTCAATTAGAATGTAAAAAAACCTGAAAATTCAGACTATCATCTCATATTCAAGTCTCTTGAAAACACTCTAAGGATATTGTGATATCGCTGATGTTTTGTAACAGGCAACTTAATATTTTCTTCATATTCTTCAAAAATGGTAGCCAACTCTGGTATTTTAATGCCTTCATTGACAAAAATGTCTGAAAATTTACATAGAAGGCATGGAGGCAGTGAACAAGAATAATCGAATATAACTAAGTATGAGCCAGCGATGGAATTCAGTATTTGTAAAAAGAACACTTCTTACCATCTCTGATCACAAGTTTATCGTAGTCACACGTGCGGTGGGACTCAATGTCCAGGGAGAGGATGTTGAGTTCCACGGTAGAATCAGGAGACTGGATAAGCCACATGCAGTCAGCCCCATTATTGTAGCTTCCGGGCCAGCCTGGGGAGAATAGAAAGACTGGCCTGTCTCCTGTCCTTAGGAACCCACCACAAGCACCTAGGATGAAAAGCACCACATTTGAAATACCTCCAATGGAAAAGGAAGCAGTGATTTTTCATTTTATAGTGACAGTCTATACTGAAAAGAAACAACCAATTGTAACAACTTCCTCAAAGAAATGAATACGTATTAGGTTTTCGGGAAAGTCATGACATATTTTTCTGTTTTTCTGTGTAAAAATGTGGCATGACTTTCCCGATGACCCAGTATTTATTAGACCCACTGATTCAGACAGCCACGATCTTGTAATTTACATTTATGTAAGAAAGATACATTGTGTTCTACTTTTTCACCATAATTTTGCCATACAACGGGTTGACTATTGGGTGTTAATTATTAGATTTTGGGGAAAGTTAAAATATATTTTTCCATGTTTTAATGCAAAAATGCATCATGACTTCCCTAACAGCCCAACATTTGTTAAGCAGATATAACTATACATAGAAATCCCTTCCTACCTCCTACAACACTACGGTAGAACTGGCACATGTGTGCCATATTCTTCACCTTTGAGCATAGCTATTTATCCTGTAATTTACATCTAGACGACTTTGAAATAATTTTTTATTTTGTAAAATGGAACATTCAAAAAAGCACCTGAGCTTATGATTTCAGCTCTTCTTTGTTTACCTTTTTCTGGTTAAGAACTTTATCAATCTGTAACTCATAACGCCATAAAATTTACCTTTTAAAGTGGTGAGCTTAGTGCTTTTTAGTGTATTTAAAAGTCCTGAAACTCCACGTCCCCTTCTCCACTCGTCTCTCGCAACCACTAGCCCACTTTCTGTCTCTTTGGCTGTGCCCATCTTGGCACGTCATGTAAGTGACGTCCTGCAACACGGGCAGCCTTTTGTGAGTGGCTTTTTTCAGTTAACACCTTTCAAGCATCATCTGTACTCTAGGGTATAACAGTATTTCCTTTATTTTAAAGCTGCAGAGTATTCTATTACAGGGATATAACACAATCAAGTTTTTTCACTCACCAGTTAATAGACATTTGTGCTCTTTCTCTATTGCGAATAACGCTTTTGTGAATATTCATGTATAAGATTTCATAGGGCATATAATTTCAGTTCTCTTGGAGAGATTATTAGATAATACATTAAGTGCATGCTTAAACTTTTTAGAAACTACTAATTATACTCCATATTTGCCTATGCCATTTTACATTCTTACCAGCAGGGCAAAAGGTTTGAATTTCTCCACATTTTCACCGACACTTAGTATTGTCTGTCCTAGAAAGTATGGAATGTATATTTTCTAGTATGCCATTTTAACTTGCTTATCCTTTTACTATGTATTATTTGAGTTATTTTCTTAATGGTTTTTCTGGTGATTACAATTAACATTTCAACTTAAGACAATGTTATCAAAAGTTAGCATTAATTAATACTAAATTTGACTATTCTATAAAACTTTGTTTAATATAATATAATCCAACTTCTGCCCCCCTCATTCTCTGTGCTAGTTACTGTCATCAGATTATATCTTTGAACATTACAAGCTCATCAGTGTAGTTTTGCAATTTTTACATTATGCAGTAGTTGTCATTTTAAATCAGATGGCAGAAGAAAAGAGTTACAGACAAAAGTGAATTTATAATGTCTTTTATGTTTACATGTGCAGTTATATTTACTGTGTAGGGACTTTAATTTCAGCATGAAGGTCTCCCTTTAATATTTGTTACAAAGCAGGTCTGCTACTAATGAATTTTCTTAGTTTTTGCTTAAATGCTAGTAATGAATTTTCAGTTTTTGCTTTGTATTAATTTATACTTAATTTCAGGGTTATATTTTTCTGAATATAGAAGTCTTCTTTTTATAGGTTTTATGTCTTCCATATAAAAGGCAGGAGAGAGCGAGAAGGAAAGAGAGAGAGACCAACCCCGTAGGGTCTCCAGGCTACAATGCACCCCATTTCAGCTAAGCTGGATCATAGGTCTGCAAGTGCTGGAACACTGCTGGTATACGAACTGAGGACCCTTCCATGTGGTGGTCATGCTGCAATTTATTTCCCTCCACTTCTCTAGCCTGTCAGGACCCTGGGCATATGTGCATGCTCATGGCATGTTGCCACAGGGGCTGGGATTCAAATCATAGTCAGCCATGTGGGATTCAGCTCCCTCAGCACTGCACTTAACCACTGCACTATGGAGCTGATCCACAACCTTAGAATTCTTGATTGATAGTCTTTTCATTTCAGTACTTTGAATATGACATCCCACTGCACGCTAGCCTTCATGGTTACTGGGGAAAAATCAAGTGTCAATGTTGAGCACTTTTTTGTACAGAATGAGTCATATGCTCTTGTTTCTTTCAAGATAATTCCCTTTTCTTTGGCTATGACAGGAAAAATGGAGGATAAAAGATTGTGGTTTGACCACACCCCACTAGGGGGTATATTTGTTTTCTCTTTCACACTTTTTCTTTCTCTGACAAGCACATACACTAGCTGGGAAAAGAATAAAGCAAATAAACTTTAATCATTTAGGGTGTATTTAGTCATAGGACAAGTTCAGAATCTGAATATTCTTCAATGAGATTCCATAATCACATGCCCAATTCAAATATTCAAGGACCGAGGATTTTCTCTAAGAAATGTCTATTGATGGGCTAGCAGTTGGCATAATGGCTATGTCACTGGACTCCCATGGAGTCGACTGCGGTTTGAGTCCCGGATCCGGTAGCTTAAACTCACGTTGGGCACATGTGCATGTGTGCCCAAGATCCCAAGAGGAGAATGGAGGAGAAGGGATTACGGTGTG